AATACAATTTTTAGTCTGTTTTACTTTTATATTTTGTATTTATACGGAAATTTAAATTTATCGCTAAGTTAATATACATACAATTTCTTTTAACTACAAAAACCCACTTCAAATAAGCGCGAGAATTAAAATATTCCCATTATTTCTAATTTTTCTAAACATATACATGCGTATGTTTGTACGTTTTGCCAAAAAACATACACCAGTTTAGTACTTAGTCGCGTTTTCGCAATAACTGTGTAAAAGTGTAAGGCGCGTACAGCAAAAATTTTATCTCCCTACATTTGACTTTGCTTTTTCAAAAAATATTTACTTTTATTGTTGCGCATAAAAATTCCAAAAAGCAATTGATATAAAAATTGCTGCTTATGTGAGCTTCATAAAGTTGACGGATTATATTCCACAAGGTATTGTCAGACTTTATAGTTACATAGATAGTTGCTGTTTCAAAACAAAAAAGTGGCGAGTTAAATGCATCCAACAAAGCTCCTCAATTCTACGCAATAAATGGGCTGTAATCAGCTTTTACATACATATGCAGCTGCAGTTCGTTTTGCCTACAGCTTTAGCGTTCAAATGTCAGCTAATTGTTTATTTCGATTTTACTGAGCTCCTCTGCATGACGAATTATGGGCTGCGATGCGCACCAAACGCAATTTTACTGCAAAATACAAAAACTCATTTTCAGCAAAGTCCCATATTTCTTCAAAAACTGTATATGCATGACATATAACCACAGACAATGAGCGAAAAGTACATGAAACACATATGTTTGTATGTATGTATGTATTTGAATATAATTAACTTTTGCTTTCACATTACTTAACACACAATTATTTAATCGCCGTTCACTTACGACATACATACATATTTCATGTTTGTTTTTCTACTGTTTTACTTGTAATTATTTAGTTTTTGCGCTTTTTTTTCCACGAAGAAAATGTATACATAGTACATATAATTTTACTATTAGATACATACATAATTATAATTGTTATTGTTTGCTGTTGCTGTTACAGTTGCTGCATGATTTGCTTTTTATATAATGCAGTTTTTACTCGTCATAACCAAGGTACGAATGTACGAAAGTATCGGAAAGGGCATACGTACGTACAACGCCGACAGCGCTGATGTGTGGGAAAACAATCAATTTAACTCATCATCAATATACAAATGTACTTTATAACATTGAGTAATTGAAATCGTGCAACATCAATGCATGCATACATCCAGTGGTATATATCTACATATTTATATATTATATATAAATCTATAAATTTTGTCTACATTTAGTCAATACTCTAATTGCTTTCATTTTGCTCTACATTTTGGCCCATTTTTTTTTTTTTTGTTTTAGTTTTCGCTCTCCGTTGTTGTTGCTGGTGGTATTTTATTTGTTGGTGTGGTAGGTTGATCTACTGTTGCTGGTGCTGCTAATGTTGTTGTTTTGTTAACTGTTGCTGTTGCTGTGACGGTGCTAATGCCTTCCTGTGCTGCTGGCGCCAAAGATGTGGAGCTCGTCGCTGCTGCAAGATTTGTAGAGGAGTTGGAGGAGGTGAAGGTTTTGGCGTTACTGCTATCCGTTTCATCGGCGGCTGCCGTATCGCTGGCACTGATCGTAGCATTCGCATCGGTTGGAGTTTCCTGGAGAGAAAACGAGAGGAAAGAGTGTTAAAAACAAGTAAAATATGAATTTTTTTGAAATGAGGTAGAATTTGATAAATTAATAAAAAAATAACTTTTTGCAAAAAATATAGTTCACAATATCAGAGAAACTATAATTTTATAAATGACAAGTTGCAAACTTTGTGGAAAAGTTAGAAAAAAATCAAACTTTCACAAAATTTTAAAATTTTTTAGGAAAATTTCAAGTAATGAGTTTCATAACGAGGGTTGCGTAATTTGACTAATCCCAAATCCAAAAACTAAATTAATTTCTGAGTTGAAAGTCGTATGAAATCCTAAGGGCCGTTTTCCAAAGGTTTTACAATTTATCTGCCTTTCAAAAACAATTTTCAGAACAAATTTGTTTTCAAAGGGCAGACAAATTTTAAAACCTACTTGAGAAAACGGCCCTAAATAATATAAATTTAATATTTTTTCGACGAATAAAATCACAAATAAATTTTATTTCTTATTTGCTCGACGAATATTGTTTTAAATTTCGTCGATGAATCAAACCACAAATCGAGTAGATTTCTTAACTAAAGCAGATTTAAAATTAAAAAGAAATTTAAATCAAGCAGCCCTGTTTAGGACCCACTAAATTTTAGTGCAAGTTTGAACTTGCTCAAAATTCTGGTTGATTTTTGATAATTTCTTTCGTACCCTGTTGCGCGTTTTCCCCCATATAAAAAGCATGCGTTATATATAAAAAAAAACCGCACAAGACCGCAAAAAAAAAAATAAAAAACATAAACGGGAATTCTGGGCAGCTTCAAACTTGCACAATATTGTACTAGAATTAAATGGGCTATAAAACTGCTTACGCGAAATTTTCCAAAAAATTTTGATGAAAATTTTATGAATTTTTCTAATTTTTACGAGCTCTAAACATTTATTTACATAGTTTTTTTTTTTTGATTTTGTCTGAACTATATTAAAACACAAATAGTTTTTTATTAATGTACGAAGTTCTACTTCATAAAAAATAGTGGAGCTATGCCTGGCCGCCCTAGTGCATGTATTAAAATTATGTAGAGTGAAAAAGATTAAAACGCAAAGTAAACTAAAATTAAATTAAACTATAAAATAAATAACAAAAAAATAATAGTAAACAAAATAACTAAATTGAAAAAATTATTTAATTAAAAATAAAATGGAATATAATAAAATAATAAAAAAGGGGTATCCATTTCGTGCTTGGCCTTTTGTCAAATGTCACTGTCATTCAAACTGGTATTTGTATAGTTAAAGGTTTGCCATTTCAAAATATGAAACGTTTTACTTCCGAAACAGGATTTCTGGTGAGCGCCTGTCATGAGCGGTAGAGAACACCCTGCCTTCGTATATAAAGACTTCACTGTTTGTGCATTTCCTCATCGACTGAATTAAGGTTATTTACCACATACGATAGAATTGTCGCGGCGGAGTAGGACAGACTAAATGGTCTGTGAACTGCCGACTGGTTGAAGATCCCCGTAACACAGAATTCGTCCTATTCACTAGGAAATATAAGATACCCCAAACTATTCTACTCTCAATCAGGGGCATTCTTCGGTGGCTTTCTGATAGAATCAGTAGATAGTACTCGTGCTTGATTCTAGATGGGAAGCTGTCGTGGAAGCCTATATACATATAATGTCATAGTCCGGACTTTATAATGAAATAAATATTCAATCCAAATTTGGTTATTCAGCATGATTCAATAATAGAAAGATTTTGTAATAAAACAGTCATCTCGCTCCCACACATAAAGTCGGCTCCTTTACTTGTGCAGAATGTTGCTTACTCTATAGTTTCTAGTGATATTAGTAGTAAAACCAAAAATTCTTCATACTAAATATTCGTTGGCGTCACCTTCTTTTGCGTAATTTTCTAGAACAAGTGTAGAATAGCGACCGTTAGCTATAAAATAACCAAAAATGAGATACCAAATTTATTTGGCGTAGGTAAAAAATAAAGAAGAATAAGAGGTTTATTGTATTTTTTATTATCACTAAATTGTGAAACCCAAAAGTAGATCATGTAAAATATGTAATATCGAATTAAAGATAATAACTTGTACTTTCTAAATAATATAAATTTCTTTACCATTAATTATCTAGTTTTTTCAGAAAAGGTTATTTCATGAAAAAATACATTTGTTCGTTTTTTAGTGGTTTTGGTTTAAAAATACAAAAAGCTGTAAATTATGTACATCAGCTGAAGAATTAATTACATTTATGGTGACGTCATTAGTTTTGTAATCGATTATAAAGTTCAGAAGATATTAATATTTAAAATATCTAAAACTGAACTTTAACCTTCTAGAACCTCTTCATTTTTTACTTGCGCCAAAACATTTTGGATGGTTGAAATGAGCATAAAAAGTTCTATTGATTTGCATTTTTCGTTTTTGCATAGCTGAACGGTCGGTAATCTAGATTTGTTCCCGGAAATGACGAATAACTTAAATCAAAAATGCATATTTTTATGTATTGTTTAGTATTTCCATTAAAACACCACATATATTGCAAATTCGCATATAATTCATAGTACACATTTTACTTCTAATTGT